TCAGTGGATATAGTACGTTTAAAATGCTTCGGTTTGAATGGCTTGCACTACGGTATATACACAGAGACTGCTGCGACGAACGCTCCGATTTTACACATATTATAGAGATATATTATTGGGTTACAATAGCGATGGTGGTTGGTAAAAAAAGATACATCGAAGATTCAGGGATTACAAATACATTTACCTAAGTTTAACAATCAAGTCGTAAGCCTACGTAATCACAATTAAATATTGCTAAGGTCGCAACAACGGCAGCAGCACGCACAAATAAAACTATTGTAATAAAAAAAAACGTCCCCTAAAATTAAATCAACAACTTAAAAAAAGAAAGTAGTTTAAATAACACGAACTATGGTACGACATAATGCCAGGGCACAAAAAAAAAAAAATAATAATAATGAGAAAAGGAAAAGTTGTTGCTAGGAAAAAGGCAACAAATCGATATATATAGTTCTTTTCACATGATTTTATCTTCCTTTTCTTATTAAATTTACACACAGTATTGAATCGCCGCAGCTCCAAATATATAAGTGGTTGATCTGACTAAGATCGAGAAAAATTATCATTCACTATTGTAGTCGTAGAAGGTTAGATTCTTTCAAAAGTCAGGCATTGTGTATCTATCCAGATTATAGCATAATTGTAAAGGTAGAGCTACCTTTCATGAGTTGTTGCACATATACTATTTGCTGCAAGAAATAAAATCAACAGAGTTCCCAAACATCAGCAAATAGGTTTAACTATTTCTGTATTACTGAACTAAAGAAAAGCAAGTGACTGTTCCCTGGCATTTCAGGTATTCGATGCTGAGTTTGAAGGCAAGTCAGTGAAATCTTGGCTTGGTGAAATGGTATTCACAGATTAATTGCATTCAATAGCTATTGCATAAGCACGGTATATACGTATATCGTTTGAAATGTTGCTCAAGAATCTCCTCTACTGCCTTGTTAAATTCTGAACAAAATAAAGACTTGCAATTGCATTAAAAAGAAGTGTTGGAGGTGTTTTAAAGTGGATTGATTTTACATAATACCCCCTGAACTTAAAAGTAAACGCGAGGCTGCTGAATTAAATCGAAACCACTGTCCCTGAGGAGCGTTCCCATCACAACACCTACCGCTCTCCCCGGGCGATTGCCTCTGGCGGAGCTCCTGGCAATCGGGACAATGGGAAAGCGGTGATGCAGAGCGGGTGGGGGAGGGGGGATAACGGGATGAGTGGGGCCGGCACTTGCCTCATTTTGCGGCAGGCGCAAATCCCCATAATCAGAAAGCTTTTGCACTTTATTTGTGTTAGTTTCAATTATATAAACAGCGGCAAAGACGAACTGTTGGCAGTGGAAATGGCAGGCGAAGAACCAATTACCGCTTGATTTAGCACACGCACACGAATGCAAACAAGGGACCCACACTCGCGCACCAACACCCACACTCACACACACACACACACACATACAGTGGCAATCACAATCACACTCACATGCATTAGCCACAGAGCCATGACAAACTTATTGAGATTCATTGAGCAGATTGTGAAGCTCCAGTTCAGTGGGCATGGGTGGGTTAAAAGGGGCGTATGTGGGTGGTGGGGGAGGCGGAGGGGGGTGGATCGCCTAAAAGGGGGTGGGTGTAGAGGGGGGCCGTTGCCGGTTTGTGGGCTCTTGTTGGCTGGTTTGTTAGACAGACAATGGCTAATGCTTCAACTGGTAAATACAAACACAAATATGTACACTGAAAAATTATGTCCGTGTGAATGGGAGCCTTTCCGCTTAAACAATTGCGGGCGAAATGCAAGGAGCAGCTTCAATTTCATTTCGAATTTTCAAAATTTAAGCACCTTAAGCAGCGAAAAACGAAATACCTAAAAACAGACATTTCAACCAAAAACAACAAATAACTAATATAAAACGAAACGCACTGATGGCTCTTATTATTTTTCCAGCCTGAATGAGTGAGTGCGTGTGTGTGTGTGTGTGTATGTGGGAGTGTGTGTTTATGTGTACACAGTTGTGTGCAAGTGGTTTGTTTACTTTGCATAAAAGCTCAGGCATTGAAAACTAAAATACTGCACAACACATTGAAACTTTGTATTGCAAAGCATTAGGCGCCGTTTCATTTATATTTTATGCACACACAGATACGCACGCACACAAACGAACACAGCGTGCAGGCGCTTAAGTACTCTGGTGTGTGTGTGCACTTCTGCTTAATATTTAAGTAAACAGAAGCTTCCTTGGGCCAACGCAACGTGGAGAAGAAAGTTACATTTCCTGAAAAATTCTGATGTTTCCTCCCATTAATAAAATTACGTTCTTGAAAAGTTAAAGGAAAATTAACTAAAAATGCAACAAATTCACTGAAATTCGGGATATTAAAGAACGATTTAATTTGAATGCCTCTAATTCTCTCTGTTGATATTTTGTGGTTAAAACGAGGTTCCATCGGACACCAATGTGCATTGAAAGGCTTCCCAGGAGACACACTTTTGGTCCACTTCCCAGTTGCCAGTTTCAGGACTCATGATTCTGGGTTCAGGAGTGTGCCACGCGTGTGGCAAGTATTTCAAAGTATTCAGATTACCATCCGGACAGTCTTGATTGTTGTCTATTAAACCGATTGTTTAAAAAGATGCAGGGCTCTCATTCAAACTATAAATTTCTACTCTCTTATGTTTTCATTTCTATTTAGCACTAAATACACAAAGGCAGCTCTATTTTATAGCTTTGCAGGGGGCATTACAATTTCAGTCGCAAAATTGCAAGGCAGCAAAGGAGAAACCCCGTAAAGTATACATATGTTTGTTCATCATGATGCCGGCCAGATTAAAAGGTATCTGCTAATACTGTTTTTAAACGGATCTTGTTGAAATTAAACAAAGTTTGATGCATACATACTTGTATTTATATTTAAGTAATCCAGGGTGATTAAAAATCATTTTAAACAAAAAAGATGTTATATCAACAAAGTTTACTCCGAAAGTTATGGTACAAATAGTTAATTTTTATTTCGGGAACCCAAACAATGATAAAGACGACGCTTATACATAACTATTTAAAATGCTGTGGAGATCAGATGTAATTAAACATAGTTACATGGTAAATAAAATAATGATAGTTTATGAGCATCAAAGGTAGCCACCCGGCATTCTTCCTGTCCAATTGTTGAAAAGCTGTCCATCGTTCACTTCCAGAAGAATTTTTGGGACCAACCACTATGTTTCATTATGTTTTTCGTAGTTAATTGCTGTTTTAAACTGTTGGCAAGCGAAACCCTAGAAATTATAAACTCCTTAATTAATTTATGCAGTTGCTTTTCCCAAGGGAAAGTTTTCATGGCTCAAAGTTTCAGAGAGTTACGTTTTTTCATACAGGTGGCTATCAACTGACCAAATCGATCAGTTTAGCAATTTAAAGTTGACTTAATAGTGGTTCTACCTAATTAATTGACTCTGAAAGTGAAACCGCTTACCTGAAAGTATGCAGCGATTTAAATTAAATCCACTTGCATACCGCCGCCACTCGCCCACAGATGGCGTGCTTGTAGTGCGGTGGCCGCTTGAATTTGCGATGCAAATTTTTAGCAATTTTTAGTAAATAGAGTAAATAGAGGCAACAGAAGGCAGGTGACAGTGGGCCGGAAACGGAGGAGTGTTTTCCATGCACCACGGCTTCAGCATCTGCATCTGCATCCGCATCCGCATCCTCATCCCCATCCTCAGCCAACTCGACTCAGCTGCTGCAATCAGCGACTAATGCAGCTCGTTAGGCAAACACACAGATGCAGGCGCAGGCACACATGATTTTATTCGCCATGTTAACATGCCGTCTGCATGTGTTTGCCAAGGACATTTCCCGGCAAGGAGCTGGCAAAAAAAAGAAACGAGGCGGGGAAATGCTCGCATTTTCGGTGGGAAGCTGGTGGGAACTGCTAAATTTTCCTAATAGCATTTCATTCGGCAACAGACGGCGATTCCCTCACTCCTGCAACTCATATTTTGGCAGATATTTTGGCATTTCCCTGTCAATATGCGAGTGTGTGCCCTCTTACGCTGAGCATGTGTGCGTGGGCTTCCCGAAACCGATTTCGCTTCCATCTTTCCAATTTCTGCCGCCCCGTTATTCCCTTTCCGAATATTTGTCCTTTACTGCACTATGAAAAATATATATTGTTTTATATTGTTTTAAAGTTAGGAAAATGGGGTATAAAATTCAGGTTGCTTGCAAACTGTAACGTCTTTTAGTTAGTATCCCAGTTAACAGCCCTAATTCTTAAATAAAATTTAAGAATTAACGTCAATTAACGTTAAGAATTTCGAGAACTTCAATAATAATAAATTGATACTAAAGTGAAGTTACCTTGCTACCTTAAAGTTTATTATACTCGAAATAATAAACACTTATAATGTATATTATAATACTAACAATTTGCCACATTTCAAGCCGTACAATTTTATCCTTTAGCTGTTTTCGGATTCATATCTACAGTGGCACTATATACGACTTCTTTATTTCACTTTTTCTATACTTTGTTGCTTCAACTACTACAATACCCTTACCACTCGTTCTCTCAGTGTAGAGCGGTCGAAACTGTTTCAGCGGAATCGACCTCGACCGCTTTTTAGGCCAGTTGCCACTCCACTCAACTCGGGCTTCCATCAGTCCACCTGTCGAGCTGACAGTTGGGTATTTAGCTGGTTTTCGGGCTGTCCTTTGTCCTCTTAGCCAATTTGCAGTGCGAAGGGCCGGAGTTGCGAGGCGAGCAGCGAGGGAATCCCCCCGAAGCCGAAGTTGGAGTCGCGTGGCAGTTGGCATTTCGGTTGAGTGCGCTTAGCCCGGGATGCCTTTCCTTTCCTTTCGCTTCCCAAGTTGCCGCCTAATCCCACATAATCGCACCCAATTCGCAGAGGGACACTTACCGCAGACTTTTGGCCAGCTATCAAATCGCAAGGAAGTTCCCAGCTCCACAACCACAACGCATTCCCCCAAAGAAAAGACTTTGTTTTGCATTTCGCATTTGTTTTTTTAAGAGCTTTGGTTGTTGGTTGAATTTCAATTGACAAAAACACGTTGCTTGCCTTATTCGTTTCGTTTCGCTTCGCTTCCCTTCGCCTCGATTGTGAGTCGAAGGACCGAAGCGAGATGATCCTATAACTATGTACATGCACTACACTAGGTTATAGATTTCAGTTGATTTTAGTATACAAAGGTACATTAACATTAGGCGTACTCGCTAGGGGTGTATATACTCGATCTCTCAGTGGATATAGTACGTTTAAAATGCTTCGGTTTGAATGGCTTGCACTACGGTATATACACAGAGACTGCTGCGACGAACGCTCCGATTTTACACATATTATAGAGATATATTATTGGGTTACAATAGCGATGGTGGTTGGTAAAAAAAAGATACATCGAAGATTCAGGGATTACAAATACATTTACCTAAGTTTAACAATCAAGTCGTAAGCCTACGTAATCACAATTAAATATTGCTAAGGTCGCAACAACGGCAGCAGCACGCACAAATAAAACTATTGTAATAAAAAAAAACGTCCCCTAAAATTAAATCAACAACTTAAAAAAAGAAAGTAGTTTAAATAACACGAACTATGGTACGACATAATGCCAGGGCCAAAAAAAAAAAAAATAATAATAATGAGAAAAGGAAAAGTTGTTGCTAAGTAGTAAATAGATAGTTGAGTAGTTGGATAGTCGGATACGCTATGTACAATTTGGCTCCTGATTAAAACATTAAAAGACAATAAATACTCGTACATGAAGTGAGTGTAGGGTGACCCAACTGTGGACAAATTCAACATGCAATTGAAACGCTGTTGCTGACACTACGACACTACGTTGCTGCTTCGCAACCGGCGACTTCCCGTGGCTCTGAATCCTCGCGAGAGCCAGGAGTTGCTCCTACTTCTGCTACTGCTGCTGTTGCTGCTGCTGCTGCTGCTGCCGCTGTTGCTGTTGCTGTTAGCGCGAACTAACCGCCGGACTGCTGCTGCTGCCGCTGCCGCGGAAAGTGCTGAAGAACCGCAGCAGCAGCGACTGATCTCCGCCACGTCCGTCCGCCTGGCGATCCAAGCGCCAACCGATGCTTGGCAGCCACCAGAAGGGCGTGTAGCCATCCGGGTTGCTGTTGCTGTTGGTGTTGCTGTTGGTGTTGCTGCTGCTGCTGCTGGCTGCAGCAGATAGTGCTGCAGGCTCCTCCTCTGCCAGCTGATCTACTCTAATTATTTTGCTATTCCTATTGCTACGGTTAGTAATACTTAAATGTTCTGCTTCTGTTGCAGTGGTTGATGCTATTGTTGCTGCTGATGTTGCTGCTGCTGCTGCTGCTGCAGTTGTTGCTGCTGTAGCTGGGCTGCTCTCATCAACCTTCTCCAATGCTGCTGCTGTCTCTGTGCTGGTTGTTGTTGCCTCCTCAGACGGAGTGCGGCCCAATTGCGGCATCACCTGTGACCAACTGGAGCGCGTTTCTGGCGTCGCCTCCTCGCTGGAAACTGTTTCCGTGCTGGCCAACTTGGGCTGCTCTTGCTTCTCTTGCTGCTTTCGCCGGTTGCCTTTTACCAGCTCGTTGATGAGCCGCAGTTCCTGTTGGGCCGTCGTTTCACCTCCATTTCCATTTCCATTTCCAGCCACATCCACATCCACATCCTCGTCTCCGTGGCCGCCAATCGTGTTTGTCATTAAATTGTCATTGTCACTCGCCAGCAAATCATTCTGCTCGATCGCCTCACTTTTGCTGCTGCTGCTGCTGCTGCTGCTGCTGTTGTTGCTGCTGCTGCTGGGCTCTGGTGTTGCTGTTGTCGTGCTGCTGGCGGCAGCATCTTCGAAAAAATGCTGATAATGAAACCGGTCGGTGGAGGAGCTCGAATCGGCATCATCAGCTGCAGAAGTTGTTGTTGCTATTGCAGTTGTTTCTCTTGTTGCTGTTGTTGCTGTTGTTGCTGTTGTTGCTGTTGTTGCTGCTGTTGTTGTTGTTGTTGTCGTCAACTGAACCGGTTGCACTTTCGATTTTATCAAGACCAGGCGATTTTCACGTTCGTCTATCTCGGGTTCTTCTGGCGGATGTGGATGTTCATCTGGCTGTGGATGCGGAGATCTTTCAGAGGAGATCGAAATGGAAATGGAGGTGGAGGTGGAGGTGGAGGCATCGGGAGATGTGTCCACTGACGCCTCCGCAACCGTTGTGTCGCCATCACTGGTTGTTGTTGCTGTTGCTGTTGTTGTTGGATCTGTGGTGAATCCCTCCTCCATGTCCGTGGTGGTCTCCTCCTCATCCTCCTCCAGCTCGCCTAGATCCCCCACTGGCTCCTCCAGCTCCTCTTGCTCCCCCTTGACAACTTTGGCCTTTGCATCCTGGTCGGCGCTCAAAGGCGGCGCCACCTTTCGATGGCTGAAGAGCGGCGGCAGCAACTCGATGCTGCCGTCGTAGGCCGGCAGAAAGGCGTCGACCTTGAGCAGCTGGGCCAGATCCGCCTCCGCATTGCTCAACCGATGGTTTGCGCTGGCGGAAGAGTCATCGTTGTCGTTGTCGCTGACGTTGTCGTTGTCGCTGTCAAGGGAACCGGTCACCAGTTGCACAGAGCTCTCCTGCAGTTGACCCGCCGGCAGCACAATGGCCTCCACCTCGCCAAAGTTTCCGTTGCTGATGTTGTTGGTGATGCTGTTGTTGCTGTTGCTGCTGCTGCTGCTAATGTTGCTACTGTTGCTGGTACTGCTGCTGTTGCTGCTGCTCCCAGGCATCGTGAGGAGTGTTGTGGTGGAGAGGGCGTCGCTGGGAGATGCCTGCAGATCCCCGCCTGCAGTGCGTCGGTAGGCTTCCGCCGGAGGAGCCGTCGTGCTGGTGGTTGTAGACGTGGTAGCCGCTGTGCTGGCAGGAGGAGCAACTGAAGGGCCGGTGGCATTGGCCACTGCCTCCATGTCCGCGGGCAAAGGAGGATCCTCCTGCTCACCCGCTCCTGTGCCCGTGGGAAACCGCTTCTCGAAGATGTTGAACTTCAGCGGCGCGTCCTCGCTGGGCAGAGCCTGGTCCTCGGAGCCCGGAGGAGGAGGCAGTGCGTCCTGCATGGCGGAGGGCACCACCGAGAGGTCGTAGACGATCTCCCCGCTCTCCGAGTCGTCGCCGTAGTCGTAGTCCGCGATGGGCGGCGGCGGGGGATGGCCGTCGGTGGCTCCTGCGAGGATGAGCTCCTGCTTGACCAGGTCCGTGGGATCGATCTCCGACTGGGGGATGCAGCGCTGGTTGTAGAGCGTGTGGCCCTGCGGGCAGTGGCGGAAGGGCAGCGCGAAGATCGACTTGGCGGTCACCTTCTTCTCCTTGACGAGACTCTGCTGCTCGGGGTCCAGGCTCACCCAGTCCTCCCACACCATCCGCTGCACGTTGCCCTCGATGGGGCGCGAGGTGATCGGCAGGCTGTCCGCGGAGTCCATTCCCACTCCCAGGAGGACCGCCAGCGCCAAGGCGGCCATGAGGCAGTTGGGCGCCCTCGGTGGCATCGGTGCCATCGCTCCGGAATCGCTCGCTCGCTTACGCCTGTCCAGCGCTGGAAGAACACAAGCAGAACAAAGGGGGAATCAGAGTGAGCAAGAAATAGCAGATGGGGGAAAGGGGGAATGAGGGACTGAGGGAATGAGGGGGAAAATAGGAAACAAAGGGAAGGGGATCGGCCATTGGCACAACCTGCCGTTCAGCTGTTCTTTTGTCCGGATCGCCCGTTGCCCCAGTCAATCCTCCTCCCTCCCCCTTTTTTTACCTCCCCCTCCGATGAACCACCACCCACCCCGTTCTTTGTGGCCGAGGAACAAAAACAATAACAATAACAAAAAGAAATACCGGTTCTGGGGCCGCACACAGAGCGGCGAGCCACAGTGGGGCAAGTGAATGAATGAACCACGGCATCGCTCGAAGATCAGCGAAGAGAAGCGAAAAGATTGAATGGGTTGCTTGGGTGATAAGAAAAGTATGTTCAAAACACTCTCGGGAAGAACTCATCAAACCTCTTTTCTACTGTTTTCAAATATCTATGGTACTGAACCTCTTAACCAGCAAGCCAATGAAATTCAGCAAGCTACTTCCCCTGGTTTTTCAGAGTATCGTAAGGGAGTACTCGAGTACCTCCTATAAGTTTTCCCTACTCCATCCCACACAACACCTACGAACACCCCATCACTGTGGTTAATTAGGGAGAAGAGCGAACTCCTCTGCTTGCAACCACTGTTTCTGTTTTTGTGGGCCATTCGGCATCGCATTTGGATGAAGACGAAGCGAGTCCGCTTGAATGGTTATGTCAACGGTTCCACAGCGCACACAAAGACGCCTGAAGAGCATTTCACACATCAGTCATCGGTGTTGTCATAATCAACAACATGAGCAACAACTGCAGTAGCAACAACAAGTGCAACTGCAACTGCAACAACTTGTTGCTGCCATTGTGGATGTTGTTGCTGCTGTTCCCGCTGCGACTGCCACTTTGGAGCTGCGACTGCTGTTGCTGCTGTGTTGCTTGTGTTGCCATTGTGCAGCTTAAATTGTTGCAGGCTTTGTTCGCGTTGCAGATGCATCTGTATCTGCTGACATTGTTGCCGCTCTGCTTGCACTTCCTGCTGAAATTGTCGCCGCAATTGCTGCTGCTGCTGCTGCTGCTGCTGCTGCACATCTTCCATGTTGCTGCTGCGCTTGGCTGCCCCGTGCGACAGTCAGTGGCACGCACAAGTGTTTATTTATATACTCGTACACTCGGACACTCGGACACTCGTACCGCTCGACGTCACGAGCGGGAAACCGTACCGCACACTCGAATACATAAATGCAAGTATAATTTATATTTACATGCTTGCGGGTTATCGGGGTTCTCGGAATTTATGGGTTCAAGTGTGTGGCACTGCGACCGCGACTTTCCCAACTGTTGCACGCGGGTTTATGGCCGTGCCACCGCTTCTGTGGCATTATTGCTCGTTAATAGCCCCTGGAATCGGGAAGTGCGTGCGTACCGCCTGCTCTTCAGTTCTTCAGTTGTTCAGTTCAGTTGTTCAGTTTTTCGGCCCTTCGTACCGCTCGTAAAATAGAAGCGGCCCCAGCGGAACTCTCAGCTCTTCTTCTTCTGCTTTTTCGGGGCTCGCGTCTGAATGTCAAGTACCTAGAGATAGTGGGCTGAATGGGTTGTTGTTGTGGGTTGTTCTGGGTTGTTGTGGGTTGTTGTGGGTTGTCAACCCGCCCGATAAGGTTAATGTCACCGCCGTAACGGTATTATATAGAGGCAGCGACTTTGACACCCTCAAAAAGTGAGCAAATGAGCTAATTAGGTTGAGTGAGATGAGGGGTGCGGAAAACACCTGTCAGATGATCAGCTTTTTTCGAGATTGGGAGTGGAACTGTTTCGAAACACATTCAGCTGGGCATCTCCTAAAATAGCGACCCAATTTCACAGGGCAGCACGCATAAGTTTTGTGAGCGAACCAATGCAAAACAGCTTAATCAAATTTTGAAATTTTTCATGTTATAAAATCAAAACTTTCACAGGTTTACATCGCAGCAAAAAAACTAGTAGGTACCATAGAAATATATATCCTGCGTCAACTTCACCCTTTTCCATCGTACTATGCGGTAATAAACTTTCATTATTATTTTTATTTTTTAATGGCCAGTTGCCTAACTTCAAGTATTAAATATATAATTATACACCTTCATTTATGGTTTTTAATAACAAAATGAAAAAGTATACTGCTAGAAAGTTATAAGCATTCAACTTATGTAATAACTGGCCTTTTTAGATATTTCCCACCAAATAACAACGATTTTGATAGTATTCCCCTTTTATACATTCTTATAGTTAACGGTAGGTTAGCATTTCTTACTCGGAATACTCATCCTTTATCAACGATGATAACAGGGTTACCTTCCAAAAACCATTTAATTAGAGCTCTGTCACTTTGCAAAGATATTGTTCAGTGACTTACAGCAAACTACTATTATCCCCTGGTTTTCGCTTTCCGAAATAAAAAGCCATGCACATTTAGCCGACTTTTCCCGCCACTCGCCAGCTGCCCAATAATGTGACGCTCTATTTCCCGCTTCGATTTGCTAATCTATATTTATGAAGCCCGGGGAGGGGAAGGCGAAGGCGGGCAGTTCAGTTCAGAGCGATGGACTCCATAGAATCCGCTATTCATGTCCTGGCATTCGGCGGACATGTGATGACTGCTGTTCGCCAACTGTTATTTCAGCCACGAGAGCCCCGTAAAAACCGCTCCGAAACCCCGGAACACCCACAGTACTCCCTCCCCGCAAGAACCCCCTCTGAATTCCCTGGATTCCCCTCCCGAAATTCCCACAGAAGGGGCCCTCCTCTGTGGTCAGCAGTCGGACGTGAGGGGTCGGCCATCATTCCATCTTCCGTGTCCTAAACATCGGACAGGACAACCAGGACAACCAGGACAGCGCCAACCAGGAGCTTCCCATATCCTATATCAGTTCATCTGTCAGTTAGGCGGCGCCCAAATTGAAATCAACTTCACACGTCGCACATTTTTAATTAAAAATCAGCAACTGATGTCAATTTTGAGGGAGCTGTCGTCCCTGCTTCTCCACTCCCCCACTGCTCCACTCCTCCCTTTTTTGTTGACTCGGACAACATTTGATGCCTTTAACGCGGACATGGAGATGGAGATAAAAAAGAGGATATGGATGTGTCTCCTGTTTGTACATAATTCCGCAAACACACATTGACATCTTGCTAATACAAAACAGCAACACGTAGAATTCGGCGTTGCGTGCTTCATGTCGGCACGTATTCAATTCGATTCAATCCCGTATTCCGTATTCCGGATTCTGTATTCTGTGTTCTGGATTCTGGATTCCGTATTCCACAGTCGGCAATCCGTATCCTGCGTTTCCGCATCCTGGCAAACACGCACATCCAGCCTGGATTTCCCACAACTATGTTACTCAGCGAGTGCGTGTCCTCAGGAAGTCCTCAGGTTCTGACTTTTCGGGACAGATTGCCCCCGATGGACACGTTTGCCTCCTATTCCAATATATTTGCTATTTATTCCTGCTCGGGATTAACAAGATTCGGGTTGCATGGATGGTCAAACATCCGAGCACCAAGGCCAAAGCACATGTTGAACCCAATCGAACCCCCTTTAAAGCGAACTATCCTACAAACAAAAATCTCGTGAATTTCTTTAATTTAATTGGCATAAAAAGAGGGCAAGGGCTTTCAACGTATCACAACAGCTCATTGCAAAATATAAACCTTCTTCATACTAATTTTCGTCTGTTCCATACTAATTTCTAATTGCATTTTGCTATTGCAGAGCTATTGGTCCTCCCATTGGATGCCTGTTTCAACCTAAAAGTGAGTAGAACCTAAGGAATATTACTATATAAACGATACGTTTTTGTTAGAGTACTCTATTAAAAATATAAGATGTTCATTAAGAACATAAGGTAAACTACAAATCTCAAGCTGGCATTTAATCTAAGTGCAAAATGTCTCCCCCTCTAAAACTTGGAGAGACATAAAGTACCGACTACGAGACCGAGTGAGCTGGCAGGTCCATTGCATCATGTGTGATCTCATCGATGCCTTGAGTGAGTGACCCGTTGAGGGGCTGAGAAAACATCTGGACACTTGTTAACATGGCAATAAGTAGTTCAATGAGCAGCCAGTTTGTATCCGCCAGATACTAGCAGCTCGTGCGAAAGTGTGCGCAAATCTATCCATTAGAACGCCTTATTATGCAGACGACTGCGTCGGTGTCTGGCCAAGAATTGTACAACTGCGAATGTATCTGAGCCTCGGCTATCTGCATCTTTAATGCGCCGTTGCCCACGCATGTGTCCACTTTTAAGAGTGTCAACCAGTTTTCGTGCTCGGTTTTCTTTGCCACATTTTCGGTGGCCGGTTTGAAATTGAAAATGCAAACTGAAGCGTTACGATTCGAGTGTCGAGGTGCTGCCGCCGTGCCGCCGATTTTACTGTCGTTAATGTTGCCGAGGCGCAACAAGTGGTCACAGCACAGCAGCAACATGCAAAACAGCAGAAACAGCAGCAGCGGCACAAAGTGGTTCGCGTTAGTGTCATTTGGCTTTTATTGCCGCTTAACTGCCGCTTCAAAAGCCACCACACTTGAACAAAAAGGTAGGGAGGCCATAACAAAATTAAATAAAAACATAAACATTTATACCAACCACAAAAGGAAACTAGCTTCGGATAGCCGATACTTAAATACCCTTGAAACTATAACCAGCTTCGCGAATATAATTTAAAGATAATACGATTCAATGGTTGGTTCAATACTTTCCCATTACACTTTCCTTACTTATGTGCATCTTAAGCCGCGCAAATTTACTATATATGAAATCACTAAAATCGCTTTGCCTTGCGATATAAACAATTATCTAATGAATGATATAGTCACTAAAAATGTAACTTGAAGTTTAAAGCGCGTTAAAGCGATAGCTCATATTAAAATTTGTTAAGACTTTTTGTGAAAGCAACCGAAAAATGCATTTTATGATAAGAAGTCCGACCTTGAAAGCAACCAGACTTTAGATAAAGTTTTTATCAGTCAGCTTTGAACTGAGAGGCTTGTTTTTGAAGTAACGGACAAACGGACAAACGGACAGGCGGACAGTTAAACGGACGGACAGAAGGGACAACGTAGCAAGGCTACCATTTTACCACGGAGCAACCTTATAACTATAACTAAAATACCTTTTGCAACGCCAAGAAATTAAATTCACACTATCCAGAGATATTGAAGCCATCTTTCTCTCAGTGCATGGGCAATCACTCAGTCGCCTTACAAGTTGGCCAGGTCGCCAACAGGTGGCCAAAAGCAACGGACGGGTTTTCTCGTTACGCGGCTATTGTTCTCTCTCAGTTTTTGTTTTCATTTCTTCTTTGTCGTTTGGCAAGGCACTGAAAAGCCGTTACACTTAGCTTGAATTTAAATTGGAGTCGAAAACCGTAAAGAGCTTGGCTCGAAGTCCGAAATCCGAAAACCGAATGCATTCGCATGAGATCACTTTGTCCTATCGGCGGAATGAAATCTGCATTCTGACCTCATCTTCCGCGGGTAATTGCAGCGCATTCCTCGGATCCACAGTCCGCAGACAACCGATGGCCTTTGTTCAATCTGGCAATTGCAAATCTAGTTTTCGATCCCTTCCCCACTTCCCCTTTTTCCCCTCCGATCCGATCCGAATGGAAAATGAAAAGTCCAGCGCAGTTTCGTCATCCCCGCGGGAATACGTGCTTCAGCACTCACACGCCAATTTGGCCGGCATGTTTATGGGATTTTCCTTCCCATCATAAACTATTCAAATCGTAAATTCATTTCCAAACAAACCGAAATGCGTGTGAAAATCGGGCGTGAGAAACGCAATTAGTTTTCCAATACCGCGCGGCGAGTGGAAAATCTAATCGAATCGAATCGAGTCAAAACGCAATTCAATTAAACGCTGCAGGTGGCCGCAAAGGGCAGGATCAGTTGGCAGTTGCCAAACCGAGAAGTGGAGGCGAAATTTATCAATTCCCCATAGAAATGCAGTTCTCTAGTGATATAGAATGGACCGAACAGTCCGAAATAAATAGTCTAATTGGGGGCACACGCGCGCAGATCCACAATTAACGATCACAATCGTCCAGCTGAAAATTGTTTACGACACCGTCGTGTGGCTCGATTTTTTCCCTCTTTTTTTCGGGTTTAGTTTTGCGGCGAAGCGGGTGCGGCTATAGTCTTGGCCATGTTGTTAAATCGGTGCTGTGGATGGGCTCTGCGCCTTGGCACAGGCCACAAACACGCAGCTGACTGAAATGCGCACGCAGACGCGTGCCGAATTCATAAAAACGCATTCGCACTCGAATCGATTTACACTTCAGTATTCGGTATTCGGTATTCGGTGGCACTTAGGCAAGAGCACGGCACAAAACCCCTAAAAAACAAGCCGGGCACGAAACTTGAGCCCAATAAAACGAAAAGGCCCAAAAAGTAAATAGCGCACCAAGCAGAAGTAAGCAAACATCTGCGGAACAAGAATAATCCATACTAACTGGACAACGAGCTAAATAAAAAATAGAACCCATCCAAATAAATTTAAAATTGTTGGTGTTCATGAAACTCATCACAATATAACAAAATTTCAAAATACGCACCAACAGTTCTATAGTTTGTTCATTAGTTGAATGAACCAATTAACGATTGCATTTCTGGGCCTATTTAGATCTATTTGGATCACATTTTTGAAGGCAAGCGAATGAAAAAACTCCGAGCAACGGGAAGACTTGTCCTACAGGTTCCCCAGGGTGAAAGTAATCCCCTTAAAGCTCCCAAACTAAATTTACGGATGCTGAGAACGGTCGGAGGGATTCCCTAAAATATGTGAGAGTTATGCATTTTGGCCGCAGTGTCTCAGCATTTCCAAACTACATAATCTGCCGCCCCCACAGAAGTGAACTCTGAACAAAACCCCCGAACATTTGGACGGGTATTAGCATAAGCAGCGATTAGAGTCCACCAAATAACGCGAGTGAGTCTAATTTGTTGCCAGCGCCTAAGTCTGATATATGATACGATTTACTGTCGATTTTTCGGATGGCGACGATTCTTTCAGACCTTTCTCTTGGAATGATTCAAGGAGTTTTTGTAGAAGAATTTCCCATTCCTTACTTTTACATGTAAACAAAAACAATGCGAATCTCTTGACGTAAAGATGATTTATAATATCTTTAAACTCTTCTCGCACTTTACTCACGTTTTATTCGTGTGATTTGCACAACACAAAGGGTAAAGCAATTTCTTTTGCCTAGGATAAAGTATATGTGATTAGGTTTGCGTATATTCTCCAATTAGTTTTGATTTGTTCTATGGTGCACAACACTTCACTTCTTCACTTAAAAAAAATGCACAGAAACCAGAATCGGCGCACGAGATTTTCTAGTTTTTTAAGCGACTTGGATGGCTGAAGATCTGAATACAGACTGAGTGGAAAACACAAAAAATTTACAGAGAAGCCAAAACCAAAACAAAATCTTGGCCGAGAGCAGCGCGCACACAAGGCAGATGCAAAGATACAAAGATACGAAGATAAACCGATATTCATGTGTAAGAGATACGAAGAGCATGCTGGAGATAAACTTACGCAATATAAAGAACCAAAGAGCCGAGAACCCGCTATGGGAAACAATCTGTAAATGTATCTGTATCCGTATCTGTATCTGTATATACTTCTGCAGCTGTATCTGTATCTGTGTTTGTGGCCAAACGGGTATCTGCATTGTATTTGGGCCTGCGATTTGGCGGTAAACCTTTGCCGCACTTGTTTGTTTTGATCCCGAGGACAGGTAGCACGCTCTGTCCCACGTCTCCCCTAGATATCTACCTGCCGAGCAGCCTTGAGATACTCTCCGTAAAAAAGAAGAAGGAGAGCGGCATCGAGAACGTCCTTGCAAGGCGAGCGCCAAAGTATCTTCTGTAAACAGCGGAGAGCCAGCCAGCAGAAGATACACAAACTTGGCCATGAAAAGTCGGCACTTCTCTCACCCATTCTGCTGTTCTTCTCTGGTCAAGGCGAATTCCTGATAACGGACCCAGTGATATGATGTAACCAAGGTGAGCAGCACAATGCATTTGTTATCGGCGAATAAGTGCGAACACATGTTGCAGTAGAGAGATTGTTTCGCTGCTCTCGCTTTGTTTGTATATTAAACACTGCAAATGTCAGACTAGTAGATATTTTAATTTTTAGTCTGCTACCTTGCTCACTGAAGGCTGCAGTCAAAACTGAAATCACTTAGGTAGCTCTAAGTTCATAAACTGTTAAGAACTTGTTCTATAGTTGCATTGGTAATTGTCGATTTCTCATTTATTTTCCTATTGTTCGTACAACAGCTATTAATCATTTCTTATATTATATTATTATCATGCATATAATATTTATTTTCGAATTGATTACATTGGGTAGCTGGCATAGTTTATTAATTGAGATATAAATACTACACTCTTAAGGGGGTCTTCCTATGTGACGGCCTGTTTTTTAGGGTTATTTTAGGATTTTTTTCTACGACCAGTAAATATTTAGAGCTTCAAGTTTTTTATCATTTACTAACACATATTTGGACAGTATAAATAAAAAATTTCAGCAAAAAATATTCGGTCAAACTAGAGTTACAGCGCTCTGAACACCCCCGCCTCGAAAAAAGAGCTCCCACTTCCTCCACGATTCCGGCTGATCGGCTTATCAGAAAAAAAAAAAATAAACGGCGTTTTAATTTGTAGGCTTAAATGCACGGAATGAACTACAATCAAATGAATATAAAAAAAATTGGATTTTTGATAGACATTTGAAAAA